CACCATGTGTTATATTTGGCACGCGATCCTATAGAATCCACAGAGATTATATATTTATCAGGTGATTTATTTTGACAAGGGATTAGATTAGTTGTTACTGTTGCGGGTATAATTGGTTGTGGATTATCAGAATGTCTGCCTGCCTCCAAAACTATTAGATACGTTTTGTTATTAAATATTTGTTGAAATTATGCTTATTAAGTCTGTTATATGTAAAATTCGTATAGGACGTAACACCTAGATACCAATTTAATAGGTTATTTACTTAGTTGCTACTTCATTAATTAAACTTTTAATTGACAGTAGGTAAGATTGTAAATTTCTACGGCAGTGGTAGCCCATTGGTAACGCGCTTACTTGGGAAACCGAGTGGGGCGGGTTCAAATCACGTGTCTCGCACCTGTGAAATTTTCATGTACGAATCATTTCCAACATTATTACCACATGCCTTACGGCAAAGGAAAACATTGTGAGGAAACCTGCATGTTTGAGAAAACTTAGTTTTCGAAAGACATGTTTATTGTGTGGTCCGCCAACCCGCACTTGGTCAGCCTGGAGGACTATGGCCTGATCCTCCTCGTATTGAAGAGAGGCCCGTGCCCAGTAGTGGGACGTTAGAAAGGGCTTAATACATAAAATTGTAAACTTACCTACATATTAAATATTATACAATCTATTGTGTTTATTAGTTTTTTTACTCATTCTTTTAAGACTCGCAAATTAAAATGAAACCGATTTTCTTCTTTTTTATCAGTTAAATATACTTTAGTTATCCAAATAATGATAACGTGTTTAGGTGGAACACCGTCAGCGGACTAAAGCAGTCATAGTAGTCACCCACAATAAGGTGGTTAAAGGACACGTGTGAAGGCAGTAGGTACTAAGGCAGGCTCAGGACCAGAAAGCTTAGCTATTCTAATGACGATGAAGGAATGTTTACTAATATAAAAGCTTGAAAGTTTGTTGGATTGAATTTGTTTTAACCAGCAATGGAGCAATGGATCGTGATTTTTCTAATTTCAGTAATTGTTTATGAGTCATGGTGCTTTCTAGTTTCTATCCGGGCAAGATAAGTGGATCCCGCGAGATATTAGTCCTCACCTTACGACACAGCCTTAGCGAAGCAAGGGTAGCTTGCTTATGCAATAATAATAATTATTTGATTTATTTACAAAATAAGTAAAACACTAAGACGCCATCGGTTTTTTTCTTTAGACTAATATATTAGTTATAAAACCGGTTAGGTATATTTGTGGTGAAGGTGAAGTCTGCTAACGCGCACTTGGCCAGCGTGGTGGACTATGGCCTGATTCCCCTCGTACTAAATGGCGGGCCGTACCCAGCAGTGGGACGTTAAAAAGAGCTGAATACATACTTGTTTATTTAAAATTTATATAATATATCATACAATTAGGTACAGCGCTTATTACAATTAACCATTTAATTTGTGAATATATTATATGTAGGTATGTATGAATATTTCTTTTAAATTATTTCAACCACAATAAAATTAATTTTAGTTCCTTTTTAAGCATTTTAAGTTATTTTTTTAGACATATTGTGGAAATGATAAATAAAAAAATAAGTTAATATTATTTCTGACTTACGAGCGTAAAGTTTCTTCCATGACATAATCAAAACGGAATCACACCACAAATGCTAAAGCTATGAATCGTTGACCTCTCAACTAACACCGACAAAAGGAATCGCAGACGTCCACATTGGACAGTAAAAAGGCGTGTAAGTGACCTATCATCACAAAATTACTGCGCATATCACGATATCACGCCAATGATAAAGACGAGGCCGATACAGCTTTTCGCGAAGTCTCAAGGCAAACCTTCGCAAAAATTAGCGCGATTTACATAACTTACCGTATTTATTTTATCTCGACCGCGGATATTGATAATATGCGCGAGATAGCAATCCGTGAGATCACTGCAGTGTATAAGGAAGCGCCGTACCTAATATTGGCCTTGCTAACTAGTTTACATATCATTACGTAGAATCTATATTATAATATTTGCTTCTATGTTTCAGGAAGAAATACAATGGCAAATCGAGCGAGGGTCAAGAGTTTTGCCCCGTCATGACGAGGTATTTAATAGTACCTACTAGTTGTATACAGATATGACATTGGTCTCATTTACGTTGACCTAAAATATGTTTAACAATAAATCGGTTTACATACGACCTACATTTGAACAGGGTCATTTGAATTTTTATATTATGTTACATATATAAATCTATTTGATAAGATATCTTATACATATTTGGTAAACAATAGACATTTTGTAAATTTTTATTAGTTCAAAATATGTTCAAATATTACTAAGTACTAAGCACTTCATTTACCACTATTTTGACTAATATTAGAAATAAGACAGTGTCCGTAAGATATGTCCGTATCGTCATAGACTCAAGCAAATTTGAGTTTTTTTTTCATTATTTAGAGTATTAAAATTTATGCACATTGTATTACCTATATCGATATATTCGATATATTACATATAATAAAAACATTTTATACTAAATAAATAAATAAAATAAATATGTTGGGACATTAACACATATCACCATCTAGTTCCATGGTAAGCTACGAGGCATGTGTTATGGATACCAGATAGTTGATATACTACACATATATAACTTTATATATTTATATATTATAAATAAAACATGATAATATAAAAAGAAACCTTTTAATGTTTTGTAAAATTTACCCAATTAAATTTATAATTTTTAAACGTAACGTTACTGAAAATTCTATAAATATTCACTTACACATCAAACGCATTGCCCACGTACGACTCAATTTCAATGGACGTCAAAAATAAAGTGACAATAACCGTTCAAATGATCAAAGAAAGCTGCATATTACTCATTCTCGTTAAAACAAAAAGGGACGTAGGCGGCAATTAGCCGGGCAGGGAATAGAGACAGCTTCCCTACAGCTAATTATACCGACAATCAATCGAGAGTGCCGTACGACATAAATAGAGCGCTTGAGATAATAGATTACGCCGACTAGTCGACGGTGTTCCGACGTACGCTTTGTTAATATTATTTATGGACGCCATACGGGCCACAACACCGTATCCATACTCATTTGATGTAGCGTGGCTGCCCATGTCACGCAATGACGAGTATATATCTATTATTACTTTAGCTTTAAAAAAAAAAACTCCACTTCGTTTTCACCTACTAAAATTAACTTTATTTTTTATTATTTCTACTATTAAATACTATGGCAATAATGGTCTTTTATTGAGTATTTTTGAAATATTTATGGTAATTGAAACATAAATTAAATAGCATGATAACGACTGTACTGCTAGGAATTAAGTGTTGAAGTTAATATATACAAATTATTTGCTAATTAGACTTCGAGTCAATAAAATATATGTATAGTTCACCACAAATGACGACGGCTCTACAAAAATTTATTGAAAAGCTAACGGTACTTTCCGAGTTCGATATAGGACTCTACAAATGGTCGAAAGCCAAGTGGAGAGACTAAATTTAATTGCTGTCAAGATTCGAAGCCAGCAATTAGTGAACGGGATTATTTGGACTGCTTTAATACCATTATTAATATAAAGCTGAGAAGTTCGGGTTGATTAAGATGTGTAACTCGATCTTTTGAAGGTTAATCGAGGGCATTGATGTGTTACAATGTGAAAGGGTGTAAAGAATATTTGTATAGAGAACAAAACAAATTTATTTTCATGTGTTTATATGAATATATTTTAGCTAATCCCTGAACAAATTAATTCTTCTTCATCTTTTAACAAAGCGCTTCTATTAAAATATACATAAGTTATTTATAAGCTAAGGGATATATTTTCTAGCCCATTTAAATACATTCCACCCGCATAACCCGCAAAGCAAACAAGTAGAAAAAGTTCCCACATTTAAAAAGGCGTTCATTATAAGGGTGAAATGTTTATTGGTTGTTTTGTGAATAATGTATGGATGTGCGGGCTTGGTAGACTCCAGTGGGAGCCGACTCGTGACCTAGTAATTCTGAATTTGTGTAAAATCACAGCAAGGTAATTTATTTCTCAACTACTTTTTATTAAGAAAAGTATGTGTTTATAATGTATATAGAGCTTTATGCTAATTCTTTGCGGGTAGAGACAAAGAAAATGTTGTAATAGCGCCTTTTAATGTCCTTATTTCTTTAAAATAACGTTTTATCTTAATAAGATCAAGATAATATGGATATTAAGTTCATTAATAATATAAAAAAATCAAAGAAGTTATCTTTGGAATAATTTGATACGATTCTGAAAATTATTTCCAAATATAAAAGCTTAATTGACCTGTGAGAGCAATCATTTGAGTTTATAATTGATTATAAGTGATAGCTGGTTACCTGGATCAACATATAGGATACTTTTTACCGCGAGAAAATATCTCATTTTTGAGAAACAATGTAAAAACTGCAATATAAGAGTATACTAATCTGTAAAACCTAAGAATTTGGTTTTTGGTCATCTAAACGCGAGCGGAGCCACGGGTAATACTAGTTAATTATTAAAAAAATAGTTTTCGATAGATAATATATGTATCAAATCTACGGACGACTAGACTGACGTATTGGGCCTAGCGGGATGGAACGGTCGCATGACCTAGTCCTACATGATTACTGCGTTAGACAAAAACACGGTTAATACAATTACGCTTATTTGTTGGTTATTTTATGTGGGCGATGCTATAATTTTTATGAGAATGTTGCCAATATGTAGGTACTTTATATGAATCTAACTTGCTCGTAAGTTGGGACGGCCTAGTGACCCAGTAATAGCCACTTGATTCGGTTAAATTCAATTGAACAAATAAAAAACGATTAGTATAATTATACTTGCTCATTGATGGAATTTTTGCATGAGAATCTGTAATGGCTGCAATTTGCTTTTTTTTAAATCTATATAGCGATCATGATTTCGGCAGAAAAAATGTTATTATAATTCCACAAATATTATATTCACACTCACCATAAGGCGAAATAGGTTGCATAGGGTCACACAAACCGCATGGTGTCGTCTTACCTGTAACAAAATTGATTTGTTAAAAATAAAACTTGAATAACAAAACTCTTGACAAATAATGAATAAATCAGAAACTTAAATTTAAGAATACATTTGCATGAATAAGTCTGACAACGCGGTAAACAATTGCGAATTATGCATTAGGGAACAGAGCGTAATACAGTCTTGACGTTGATATAATTTTTTGAATAGTTGATGTGGACTATTTTTGAACGTGGACTTTTTATAAGCTTAAAAGCAGACATATTTCTATCAATCTCATAGACATTAAAAAAAGGGTAACGTTCATTCATAGATATAATACAAAAGATTTTTATATTGCCACATAAATTGAATGTTAGAGTTGGGCACCTAGGTCAATGCGAAGAACGGTTTAAACCGTGTTCTCTATTGTTTGCTCAGTCTTTACATAATACGAGTGTAGCTTGTCTGATTGTGGTGGTCGTATTGTTTGCGTTAAAACATCGTACGTATGAATTTCTTATGAATAAACATCGCTTGCGATGAATACCTAGTGAAAAGCATAAAATAAGCTGAATTAGGATTACTCATATTTTATACGAGTTATGTTTGAATGTTTTAAAATAGCTTTGATCTATTGCTGCGAAAAGTTGTTTTGATATCATTGTACAAAGATATTTTTGGATAGCTTGATTTGCTTTAAATAAATACAAGAATATAGACCGTATTTCTAAAGCCTTATTGTATTTTACAATAGTGGTAAACATAATACATATGTTTGTTTTATAAGTTCTATTACTTATATTTTTAAAGGCAAACAGACATTATGTATCTTCTTATACAGATAAAGGCCATATTTTTCCAAGAAATTGTATACCTATATAATCTTAAAACTATAGTTTTATTAACTATTATTGATTGTTATTGTACATATTTTTAAAACGTCATCTATTATAGAATCTTGTCAGTTCTTTTTTTCCGAAATTTAATGTTATGTAATTTGAAGAGAGGTCCGTGCCCAGCAGTGGGACGTCAAAAAGGGCTGAAACATACATACATTAATATAATAACAAAACATATTACCCTTACATTTTAAGGTAAATTTCTACATCTACCTGCTGTATGTGACTTCATAGGCTTACTTGTTTTTACCTTCATCCATAAATTATTCTAATAAAATATAGAACTCAAATTATAATAGAACTAAATGAATGAATGAAAAAAAATCATTCTTCTATTCTTCATCATGAAAATGAGTCAATTGAAAAAAGGTAAACATAGTTTTTCTAAATACAATCACGTTCACTTTCTTATCTAATGAGATAAGAGATACATACTTTTATCACAGACAAACATTTTCATATCTGGACGTTGTATTAGAACGTAATCGTGATTTATCAAAGTAATTTCTCTTAATAACTGATAGGTTATATTTAAGAAAGTGTAGTTTAATGGAAAAATAATTATTTAATAATATAAATCGAGTAGAACTTACGTTCGGGAAAATAATTAACTAAATTTACATTAACTAAGGAACCAAATTTTTTCAAAATGTTTTATTTATAAGATGATAAATAGCGCTAATAAGCTAGTATGGATATCAGAAAATATTATTTATAATTTAAATAATTCAAAACGCTATAGGTAAACTTTACGTCTTCCACTTGGTCTTATTTATTTTGACAAACATGGAGACACCTAGACCCCCGATTTCCTAAAATTTTAATAAGATTCTTCTAGTACGCGGTATTACAAATTTGGATTTGGACTTAATATTAATCGAGAAATATTAATTTCACATAACATTTCATATTATAGTGACCGGAAAAAGAATATACGTGTAAAAGAGAATAAAATGGGCACCAAACTTCTCTTACACCCACGCCATAAGTTAATTGGTAGGGCTTGTCTTTATTTATAACAAAAAATATATACTTATTACTTTTTGCTTAGTACTTACTTTACCTTACTTACAATTACAATAATTCTTATATTTATAGACTACTACATTATTACGATTAACTACGTTATTGTCCACTAACATGATCGTTTTTGTTCAATCCAACGCAGTTGAAATGGTATTTTTTTCTATTCCATTAGAAAGTCTAATAAAACTGAACTATTTGTGATGACGAAAGGAAACAAAAACATTATTAAAAATTCAATAATACTTTATTAGATTTACGCAAATATTTGACATCTCTCCCGTGAACATGATTGCTGTAAAGTATTCGAAATGTCGGGAACCAAAAATTAAAATAAATCGAAGAAAAAATTCGAAATATAGTTTTAATTTAAAAAAAAATCAATGTTTTATTCGAAATAAAGTCATTTAATATTGTGTGCAATCGATGAAAGTCACAACACGTCGACCAAGAATCTAAAAGCGTTTACTTTCAAATTCATGTCAAGAATCTAATTTTACTAAAAAATGAAACACTCCGTATTTTCAATACAAAATATAGATGGACATTTTTACTACACCATTAGGTTATAATAAATAGCGTATACATATAAGATGAATAGCAAGAAAGAGCAAAGCCGTAACCTCTATTGTTTAGCGTAGAAAATATATTGGCCAGAATATGTAATAGATTGTACGTGGCAACGCCGTCTAATAATGTTTAACCCAATGCAATGTCGAGTAATATCGAGTAAGACGATCTACTCGTGTTTATATCATAACAAGTATTTTATTAAAATTTTGTGACGTTAAATTCATCGTACTGTGATTGTTTATTTCAAGCTTACAATTCAAGGACTTCTTAATTTATTACTAAAGCATACTGACCCCCTGTACATGGAAACAATAGGTAACACGATAAAAATAAACCTTTATTATGAATGGTCTATAAACTTTCGGAACAAAATTATAAAATTACAGCGATCCTTTGCTCCGAGATTGCGTAAAAGAAGGACAAACCAATATACTCAAGTACAAACAAAATACACTTTTATAGATTACAAATTCCCAGTATTCCTATTATTATATTCCTTTCTAATATGATTATTACTAACCAAAAATTACAACTTTATAAATTACTAGCAACTCACCCTCGCTCCGCTCGGGTTCGTTCCTACGTTACGTTTTAACGTTTAGTGTAGATTTCTCAGAGATAAAATATTTTCTCGCAGTAAAAAGTATCCTATATGTTGACCCGGATAACCAACCAGCTACCATCAAACCAAATTTCACCAAAATCCCTCCAGTGGGTTTTCCGTGATGTGGTAACAGACAGACAGACAAAAATTCTAAAAAATATAGATTCGGCCTCTGTATTGATAATAATATTTCAATAAGATTTTCCAAAAAATATTTAATGTACAGATTCGGCTTAGTTACAATTTTATTATATGTATAGATAGGTACGACTGAAAAAATGGGGGCATGTTTTAAAAATAACACCATATAAAACGATTATTGTGATTGATCTTTCTAGAATATTGTACGTATGATAAAATTTACAAATTCATGTTTGTTTCACAGTTTATGAATTTAATATGTTTTCATTTAAAGATCTAAGCGAAAGCTCGCAGCTGCTTACATTACCTCGCCTAACGTAAACATTTACAGAGTATTCTCTGAAATATTATATGTATGAAAGAATTATTTGTAATCGATAAAGCCCTTGTCGATAGTAATATTATGCTGTGTATGTAACTCATAGAAGTCATATAAACAAAACCGAACATGTATAATTATACCTAGTAGTGTCTTGGTCTTTGTTAGTTCGCCGCTCCTCTGCTCTTCAATTACCAGTTGTTGTTTATTTTTAATTATTTTTGCATTAAATTATACTTTCTAAATATAGCACGTATAACTTATCATTTATTTGGAGAAATTACTTTGATAAATCACGATTACGTCTAGATAATATGATATTTTTGCATGCGATAAGAAAAATGTAAAATAAAGACGACCGTAACGCCATTATTTCACAATTTTTAATTTGTCGTTTTTAAATATCTAAGTAATTTTTAGTTAATTATATTATAATTTTTGTCAAAAATATCATTATCAGAAAAGTAAATGTATACAGTAATTAATCACAATTCTGCAGATACACCAAATGATTGAAGGGAAACATTACGGGATTGCCCAGATGAGTCAGAAAATGTTATCCAAACAGGAAAATAGGAGTACAATTGTGCTTTTTATCGTTCCATAAATATGTTTATTATATTTTTGGGTTTTATACACTAAACAAATTTATTTCTAGAATCGTTTTGGGTTGATTAAATAAGAAGCTTTAGAATTTATCAGTTCTGTTTTAGCGTTAAACATGTTTAAAATTTAAAATAACTATTAACAAAACCGTATATAACCGTAAAAGCATATCTAGAGTTGCACTCACAGTGTGTTAGATACGAGTATACCTGAATGCAGCTAACTGAAACACATGATTACATTAGAGTTGACTTTTCTAAAAATTGGAATGTAAAGCGTAATTTCTGAAAATAAAATAGTTTTCACAAAACATAAACAACAGACTTTGCTAGAGTTCGCATCACATTCAATATTTGTCAAATAAATATACGTACAATAAAAGTAATTATTTTTTACGTATTTTGTTTCGATTACAATAAAAATCAAAATATCATAATAATTTACTTTTAACATAAAATTAATGGAACATGAAACTTGAATACACGTAGGTATTTAGAAAAGAATAAGTAAATTGATGAAAACATTTTAAATAAAACTATCTTTCTGGATTTTTTCGCAGATTTATTTTGATCTTTGGTTTCCGATGTTTCGAATTCTTAACAGCAACCATAGCAACGGGAAAGACTCAAGAAACGTCGGAAATCTAAAATCAAAATAAATCCGCGAAAAAATCTGAAAAGATATAAGAATCAAATATAAAAAAGTATTAATTGATTAAAATTTAAAATTAATATTGTAAGCATTTTTGTTAATTAAATTTTTGAATTTAACCAATACTTTAATTATTATCAGGTAGCCTTAATGTTAGGTACTAACTTAATGTTTTCATATAAAATATCTAAAACATTTTGAATATTAAAAACCAAAAGTTTTTTAAGCAGTAGGATAAACAATGAAGTAATGAAATATGTGCAGGTAATAATAAAGTAAATTATGAAGTTTAGATTTTATTGGATGTACTACCGTAGTTTGAGGGCAAAGTAATAAGTCCGGATTTACTCGCGGATCTGCACGAGGCCAACCTAACATCTCTGAGCTATTTATCTATTACATCCTGCATACTTTTATTAAATTGACACGCTTTTACATTGCTTTTAAGAAGATAAAAATATGTATATTTAATGCACTAGACTTATTTACGTTTTAGTTACGTTTTAACGTTTAGTAAAGATTTCTCAGAAATGAGATATTTTCCCATAGTAAAAAGTATCTTATATATTGGCCCGGATAACCAACTATCATCATAAAAAAAATCATCAAAATCCCTCCAATGGTTTTTTCGTGATGCGGTCACAGACAGATAGACAGACAAAAATTCTAAAAACTATAGATACGGCCTCTGTATCGATAATAATGTCTATTTCAAAAAAAATAATTAATGTATAGATTCGGCTTAATTAGAATTTTACTACATGTATAGATGTAAAATAGAACTCTTAAATACTATGAGCATTGACTTTGAAAATTGATACGTGAGAAACGTTTTGATAACTTAATATGTAGGTACCTAATTGTCATAGTGAAAAACTATAATATAAAAATGAATCGCTGAATGTTTTGGTAAGCGCAAATCTCGAGAGCAGCTGAACTGATTTCGCTTATTCTTTTTTTAGAATACTTCTTGAAGTACGAGGATGGTTCTTACGGAGAGAAAAATTTAAAAAAAATCCTAAAAAAGTCTAAAAACAACACTTTTCTACACTCCCATACAAAAGAATCGTAATAATATTTAAAAGTCGATTTGAACTTTAATACCATACCATAAAATTTAAGTGTTAGTAGAGAGGTTCCGGGAAGGCAAAACAATTGAGTGACGTTAGTATCATATAAATATTAATGTCAATATTTGTCAATATTATTAACAAAAAAAAATTATATGGGTAACGCTGGCTAATAACTATTTATATCTATTTAAAACGTACCTAGCGATGAACCCGAGCAAAGCGAGGGTGAGCCGCTAGTATATAATATTTACTTCTAAAATAAATTTTGCTTTATTAGAATTTTTAATTATTAGAATTGCTATTATGTAGAATTTTAACTTTACTAATAAAAACAACAATTTTTATTATAGTACGAGTGTAACTCGAATCAGGGCAGTTATCTATGTTTAACAGTGCAAAATAAATAGCTTAACTCACGTGACGAATAAACGATTTTGCAAATGATTAATAAAGCCAAAATAACTAATTAACGCGCGATAGCGTATCTAAATCGTTGACCGTGCCAAAACGAAGTAGGTAGTAAAAATTTTCATTATACACACAAATTTGTGACCGGTTAAGGCAATTAAGGAAATTCTAAATGTTAACTACTGTTTGAACTTTATTAGGTAAGTAAATATATAAAGTTAACTAGCGACTCGCTCTTGATTCCCCATACAAACTTTCATTTTCACCCCCTTAAAGGATGATTTCCAGGATAAAAAGTATCCTATGTCCTTCCCAGGGTCTCAAACTATCTTCTTACCACATTTCATCTAAATCGGTTCAGTAGATCCAGAGATGACCCCCTACAACGTCACAAACTCACGAACTTTAACTCTTTATAATATTATTAGTATAGATTAAAATTTGAAACTACGTTACTATTACATCGTTAAAGTAACAGTGACTATAAATTAGTAGGAACAACGTTTACTCTACAAAATACGTGTTAGTTAAACTGTTATTTAAGGTGCGATTTCTATGGCTAAGTGCACGATACTCACCGACGTTGGAGTGGTAATCGTGAAGCGTATACAATGGATAGTCACCTAGTTTGAACAGGTAGGCAGAGAGGAGCACGGCGTCATGTCTCGGCTCCATTTGCCCGGGATGCTGTGCGGCGGGCCTCATCAGCGAGTTAATAGAAAAATCTGTCGATCCCTGTGATCCGCACCACCCGTTCACACTACACAGTTTACACTCCTCCTTCATTGTTTCAATGTAAATATAAAATATACTAAATCCGTTTTTTTTGTACTCGGTTTGTACTGGGCACTGATAAATCACATATAAAAATATCCGTATGCTGACTCGCACATCACAGAAGATATCACAGCAGTGTTCGGCGACGTCTGCAATCCGTTACTATTTCATCTTATACTTCTATATCCTTGTAAAGGCACTTTTTCCAAGAGCTAAGCGCCTGTCTCACAAAAAATACGCGTAAGTGTTAAATTTTGAATGTCGAGGTTGAAGCTTATTTAGTTAAAACTAAAAATATTTATTTATTGATACCTATTAAGTATATGAAAAAAATAATCATATAAATTATTGATCTTTATTTGTTACAGATTGACCTTTAACATCGCTAATGGCATGTCACGATGTGAACTGAATCCATAATAATTCGTTCTTGTAAACGATTGCATCATGCAAACATATGGACAGATTTTCGACTTAAAATCGCATTAACTTTATGAATAAAAATATTTATTATGAGATAGGCGGCTATGCATGATCGTAAACCGAACCGTATAGGTTAGTGTAGTGTCAGCGAGCTGCAATGCGGCTTTACCGGGTCAGAAGGTGCAATGCTGTCGTTGTGCGATTTGCGTTTCCAGTAAGCGATGCGCTATTGTTACCGTTGCAAATACATGTAAACACTTCCCTAACTGCAATAGACGATAGAAAAACGATTGACTCTCGTATACCAATTGAAAATATTTTCGCATTAGGATAAATATTTTTTTGTTAGAGAGAATATACTTATATATAAAATACATATATACATACAAAGTGTCTGTATGTATGTTAGTTATATATTCAGGCCCAAGCAACTGAAGCGATCTAGATAGTGGCTTGCAATCTAAGAATCCGTCCCTAGATTGCAAGCCATTATCGTGCAAGAATTTTCTAAAAGATTTTCTGGATGTACACGAATAGACAGACGAATGATACAATGATCTTATTACGCCACCGCTTTTTCCTTTTGAGGAATTAAACTCTAAAATTCCAAAATTATTTTTTGAAAGCATATATAAATTAATATCATTACTATTCTACATTAAGAATATATAGGTAATTTTTGGTACGTGTATCCCGTTAAAACATACAGTTTTTGCGATAAAGCGGATAAGAATTCTGTAATATATAGAAATTTCTGCACGGATGAGCACGGGTTTTTATTATTTTATAATATGTACTGTTAATTCTTCATGAATCGAATGATTTTCAATTTTCGTACACGCGTATATATGTAAGCGTCATCGAAATTTTAGAGCTCTAGACCACATTTTTATCTACGCAGTGAAAGAAAATCGATAACTTACGCAATAACCTACTCATTAGATTAGGTTTAAGGCTGTTTAATATAGTAATATAATCTTTTTTATTTATATAGTGTCTAGAAATTATAAGATAAAGACAAATGTTTGTAATGATAATTGTTATATATCTTTACGAAGTATGCTAATGCACATGGCCGAGTCGATTAGTGTTGAGTAGTCACCAGCTATCTTTTGAACAGTAGTAATTTCTTTTTATGACACAAGTGTTCAAAAAAATATTTTTCCTATTAGCTAGTGTTTATGAGCACCGAACGTCGCAATATGCATTAGCCTTGAATCCGCACATAAACAAGCGTCACGTGACCCGCTGGAAACTTGTCGGCTCGATGCAATGAAACTTCATTCATTACAATATAATTTAAAATATGTAAGCATTATCTAGTTGTTTTAGGATCATTAATAAAAAAACCTTTGAAAGTAATAAACGAAATAACAGAATCGAAATTTCAAGATGCAACCGACAAAATCCGTTGGTCAAAAAGGTGCGCTACAATCCCTTTTTACCTAAGTCCGTAACACTTCCTAAATTAAAAAAAAGGTATTAATAATAGGTGTAGTCGCACGTGCGATCAAAGCATCAAAGCCAGGCAGCTGCTATGACAGCTGTTGAAGTCGCCGGAAGACCCCGGCCCCCTCGCTCCGGCTCCGCCCTAGCTACCTGCCCCACAACTTGACACGACCGAATCTAATCCAACATTGTTATTTGTTAAACATATATCAGTATTCACCGGGCGGAACATAAATAAAGGTTTCGTAATTAATTAGGTTCTTAATTATTCTTAATAAAGGATCGACAACACGATAAATCATGATAAATTCGAGCACCGTGCAAAATGATCTAATACATATTCATACAGCGCTTGGGTCGCAACTCGCGTGGTTTGATTGATCGAGGCACATCATCTTTATGTGTCCTAGTAAATATTTATTAGATTTTTTTATATAAATACAACTACATTATTAACATTCCGGCTGAGTTTGTTAGCTAATGTACAGATGAATGCAATTATTTGGCAACATCTTTTGGCAGACACCCAGTAGGAGAACAAGTGGAAAATATGGTACAGCATTAAATAAATGTTAGATTTTCTGAAATAGGAAAAACTCACGGGAACCTCTTTTGGTTGATGATTAATTTTAAATTTCTTGATTTATAGTCCTATCTAGTGGTTTAAAATAATGTACCAGTTAAGAATCTTTTGGCAAGCATTCTTGGCGTCTACCCAGGCAGTTCTATTAACAATTTCCATATCGTACTATTGTTTCTGTTTATGGTCGAACCGTTGCCTAATTTCATTATTTAATTTAAAATCATGGTAAAACAGATGGTTTCATTAGTTAAAAAGGCTATGGCACCCTTCAAAGCAATTGGCAATCGATGTTGGCTTTAGCCCAATTTGTTTAAGATTCATCTTAGCCTAGACTACCATCGTCATACGAGTACTAATACTGGTAGGTAATAATGACATTATGAAACATGATTGATAAATAATAACTATAATGAAAGTTCGCTCTGCTAATAAATGTCAGAATATTTTGTAAGTGACTCCTTTACATTTAAAGACTGAAGTTTAATTTGGTTATTATATTAGTATTGTTTATTATATTTTTAGTCTGATATTGCATGTGTACTAGTCTATCTACATCATTGTTATGCATGAGGCTTAGTCGAACCTTAATATCAATTAATGATCATTAATATATACAGCAGAATATCTCACTTGATAAATCATGAGCAAGCAAAGCTTGTCTATACATATAATAAAATTCTAAGTCGAATCTGTACATTAAATAATTTTTGGTTATTGAAATAGTCATTATTATTATAGATACAGTGACCGAATCTATAGTTTTTAGAATTTTTGTCTGTCTGTCTGGAACGCATCACGAGAAAACCATTAGACAAATTTTGATGAAATTTAGTATGATGATAGCTGGTTATCTTTGTCAACATATAGGATACTTATTACTGCGGGAAAATATTAATCTCTGAGATATATATCTATACTAAACGTTAAAAAGGTAACTAGGGATGAACCTGAGCGGAGCGAGTGTGAGTAGCTAGTTTACTATAAAATTTGTATTATAAAAGAAATAACTTATAAGGTATGTGCGCATTTCCTTATCGCAAATTTTAAATTATCAGTATTGATTACCATATCGTGACAGCGAGATAGCCTGATACGATAAATTATACTTTCTGCTGTGCGTAATCTATTAAGTGACGGGAATTAAATATATATTATTCTTAATTGCAAAAGTAGCATTATTTTTACCATTAAGAAGTTATGATAAAAACTTTAAATCTTTATAGTATCGCAAGTATTGTTAACGAAAGCACAACGTGGTTGCACAAGAATCTCAAATTGCTTACATAAGCAAAGCTTGCGTAAACTCTACTTAGGAGCTCGTTCGCTCGTTATTTAGCTTTAGGCCGGATATAGATTTTGTTAAAAAATATTATTAAAAGTTAATAATCATAAATAATAATTTTGTAACATATATATAAAATTTTGTTATCTATTTATGTAAATAAACAAGTTTTAGCTGATTTGATTAGGTATACTTGTAACATACGTTTGCTTAACTTTTAATCCATAATAAAATTTTGTCTATAAAACAGTAAATAATGTAAGCATTAACAATGATCAAAATAACTAAGCTTTTTATTATAGCTTATAAATTTTATAATTTATTTATTATACATCATACATAACATGTAAAAGTTCCATAATATGATCAAACTGAATTTATTCGAAAAAACAAAACAACTAACTTATCCCTTGATTACTAACATAATAAAAGTTTAGAAAAAAATATTACCGCAAGTTTGTATTCTACTCTACATTATGTAATATATATAGTTGTTCATATAACAAAATCGTGTACTTTCGTAAAGATAATTAAAATCGAAAGTTCTTACCATAAATCATAAAGTCATCATAAGAATACCGTTTAAAATACACATAAATCAAAGATGATCATCGATTTGGCTAACACACATTGTATGAGGTAGAAAGGAAAGGGGCGATGAAAAAATTCGAGTGTCTAACGGTTCTTTGTAATTAGGCTAATTGTAACAAATGATTTGAGATGCAATATAATACAAGAACGATATTTCATAAAAATTATATAGTTGCAATTGCTGAATTACTTAATAAGCAAATAATTTATTTTACAAATGTTTTTACGGAATTGAAATATACGTAAAATGCTGAATTGAGCAAATAATAATTACCGAGAACTTATGATTGAAAAGCCACCTGTGGATTGAAGCGTCAATCAAGACGTGAAAATAAAACAAGGTCCAATATCAATTGATTAATGTTTAAACTATTATTGTTTTGAATATTTATCATCTAATTAGTGTTAATGATATCTAAAGTCGGTAGAGCGGTGTAAATTTCTGTAATAAAGTTATCGTTGTGAGGGCCGGAGGGCTAGAGAAAGCGCCTTTCACTCCGTTAGCCTACTATGTTTTATAAGCGCTAATTTAAACAAACATAGATATTAATAAGTTACTTTACTTATTGTTTTTTTAATAAAAATAGTATATTTTTGAAGTGTAGATCCATATCCATCCATAAAGTTATTGTTCTTAAAGTTCTTGCTCCTTAGAAAGTAATTCAAAGGCGAACTTTGAAGATCTCGGTTATGTTAAGTAGAATAAAACAAAAGATTAGGTAGATAGTTCAAAGTAGTTATGTATAGATAAACCTTAGTTAAAACTTAGAGGTTGCTGATAAATGTATATACAATATACATATATTTTAATAGTGTTACAATAGTAACTAAAATAAATGCCCTGTATTCCCAAAATTTTTAAACTTTTAAATGTTACTGTAAATACTGAAAAAAATATAATTTACATGCACGTAGCTATAAGCGCTAGTGGTAGCTATGTAGAAGTAGGTGTTTAAAAATATTAATTGAAATAATAACACTGGCTTATTTTTTAACGTAAAAGCGTTGATTGAAATTATTTATTTGAAATCATATACATATGATGTTAAAAACAGTATAAGATTTTTTAAATATCGTTTTCTATTTTGATCTTGCGTTTATTTTTAGCTCAATTATAAGTTTTCCTCTCTACCGTAACAGTTTGGCGGGTTTCGTATAACTGGGACACCTCGATGGCATTAATTGATAGTGTTGACAAGCTCAGCCCGCCAGCTCATAGTTCAGATATTAGACTTTTGCTTTGAATTATATTAAACTGGCTATGAAATGCTTTGCATAGTTCACGAAGAGCGTAATATTTTGTTATCAACTATTACTTAAATATTTAGTTATTAGTAGTCATTAAATAGATTAAATAAAAATTTATAGTAATATGTTAAATTCGAAATAAGTGTAAAAATAGATTGTGTTTCATCGTAATTATTTGGTAAATATTATCGCGTCAGTAACATTGCACTTCAGGGCAATATTATTCTGTTCTAGACATAAATAATTAAAACTATTTATTTCGCTAAATTAGATCGCTTCATACAAATGAGTTAGGCATGGAAGTAAACGTAACGTGTAAGCTGTAATGTGACAGTTGAATTAATAACAAGCGCGCGGTTTCCTGCCTAACTGTGTAGGCATTTAATAAATCTGGTGTTAGTTTACATACGATGAAACCCGGCAATCGGTAGCCGCATGTAGATTCGGTAGCTTTAAAGATAACCGGACGGAGCCCGTTCGCATTCGCACAATACGACATCCCACAATTTCTTTGCACAATCTGATCGACGCTCACCGGCACTACACTATAAGTGACACAAATGATATTTATTTACATGTGTAAGAGTTGTAATCGCACAAGATCCACTGTTTTGGCACAACACGACACTAACAGGAGGCTAGATGGAGGTTATTTTACGAGCGGAAGCGGTGCGCAGATAGTGCGTCGTGTTTACAGTTGGCGCGGTCCTTTTGTACGCGTGCGAATCAACCACCTTCCTCCGTAGTTGACAGTCGACTGGCGTTAGGCGGCGTGTACTAAGGAAAGCTGCGTTGTAGAGCGGCGGCGGGTGATGCGAGGGGCGCGGGGGTGTCTGCGGGGAGGTGCGGGGGGCTTCGCGGGGGGCGCGGCACACCTGCGATGGAGCGCCTCTGGCGACGCGGCGAAGCTTCCCGCTGAACTACGCAATAAACGCTCGATAACTTTCTCATTAGGCGCGCCTAACCGTGTGACCGTAAGCTCGTTTCTGTGCATTTTAATGCAGTGCAATACGAAAACATGCATGTAGCCAATTTACACTTGGCCGAGTCGTTACTGAGATTTCGCGCCGCAAGTGCTTTCGCCTGCGCTTGCGCAGTTTCATAACTGTTGTCGGCTGGTGCGATTTAAAATTTCGTTCTATTTGGTTAATATCATATTATTAAGTAATTGGTACTCGTTATCTCTTAAAAAAGTCTTTTAAAAGTTCTTTTAGATATCATAAAATAATTATATTATATTATATTTAATTTTACCGAAATATGAATGAAATCGTTTCAAATAAAAAAGAAATAAATAATATAAACAAGGCACTTAAAAATACAAATATTTACTTAAAATTCATTTAAAATAGGCTTAATCTTATACATACCCAAAACCTGTATACCATCTAATTAATTGAATCCAAGAGATAGAGGTAATTAAATTGGATGGTTTAATACATAATTAAATAATATACTATTTAATAAGCGTTCCCTAATGCTAGGGTGCGCAGTAAACCGTAAAGCTCACTAACAGAAAAATATCCCTAATTATAATAATTTCATTGTTTAAAAGTATTTTAGTTTAAAATGATTGATAGACCAAATTTAAAGTTTAAACTTAAAAAAAATAACTGATTATGTAAGCTTTCACAATTAAAATATAGCTCACGAAATAAAATATAACTTCATTAATTAGACAACCCCTTTTGTAATATAATTTCATATGTATCATATTATGTTACGGACTGACTACACTGACGCTCTAAATTGACGATTCAAAAGTGCTTGCTTATTACGAGCACTTTTGAATCGTCTACTTGAATAAAGTTTCATTTCATTTTATTTCATGTATGGGTTTCCCGTAGACCATTTACTAAACAAAGAGCAATTCTCAGTATTTGCTTTATTCTTTGTGATTTTTTGTTGCTTCTTAAATTTTAACTTAAATATTGCGACATCTAGTTTACCTATTATTTTCTTAATATATCTATACTAATATTATAGAGAGGTAAAGTTTGTGCGTTTGTGACGTTGTAGGGGGTAATCTCTGGGTCTACTGAACCGATTTATGTGAAATTTGGTAAGAAGAAAGCTTGAGACCCTGGGTAGGTGAAAATTGGGATGAAAGTTTGTATTGGGACGAACCCGAGCGAAGCGAGGGTGAGTCTCTAGTAGACTATAAGTGTTTATATAATATACAAAATGTTTAAATGTAAAATAAAAATATTAATGAAAGTTAAGCTTAAATAATAATAAAGTCCAAAAAAGCAATATGTCTACATAGTCAGAAGTTCTAATACAAGATTTTGTGCTTTGCAAGTTTCGAATACGTTCATTATAGATGTAAACATGCTATGTGCCTGTAAATACAGTTAACAAAGCTTTGAACAGCTTTAACAGCTGGCCACATCTGTTTGCATAGCAATTATCTATACGTTTCTTAAGAACTCAATATTGCAAATAGATTGGTTACACCACTGTTTAAAATAGTGTTATGACATTTTAAAATATTTATATTGTAATCATTATTCATTATGAAATATTACAGATATATAGACTAATAAAGTAAAAATCTAATATTCTAAAAAACAGACTTCTTCGGCCTCTGTGTCGATAACAATGACTATTTCAATAAGATTTTTCCAAAAATATTTTAATATACAGATTCGACTCAGAATTTTATTATAATATGTATAGACAAGATTCTAATAACTTATTTAAAATCTTATAAAGTTATATGCGATCGAATTACGTAACAGAAAGCTATGCAGACGTAATGTAATATTTCTAATTTTATAACAACAATTTAATATAGGTATTAATATAATGTAAGTATAGCATAATTTTTTTTTCTTGTTCTAGATCATTTAGTCTCCTTTATTTAAATATGTATAAAGGCATGTATGCAGATAAGCCACAATCACGAATGCAATTGCAGGCGGACCATTAATTTAGCTTTAGTAATATTAAATACAGACTAGACTAGACTTGCATCTTTACTGTTTGTAATAATGATTACAACAAGTTCATTGTAATAATGCAGTATATAATAAATAAATAACAATTCAAGTTTTGAAAGATATACATACGTAGGTAATAATTTTATTTAAGTTATTATAATAGCTTAATTGATAAAGATTTTATTTAAACATTCAAATCTTTTTCTTGAATTATATGAACTAGTTTCCTTCCGTACGTAAAAGAAAAAAGTGTTTTCTCGACTTATAAATAGTTCGAGCTGTAAAAGTTTCTATAATTCCAATTATTTCATAAAAGTCAATGACGAACTTAGGATTCTTTAGCCAACTTAGTCACAATTTAGCGTACATAAAAGTATGTCAGAATGTGAAGTATGTCTCAAAGTCAATCGATGTAGACAGGGGAATCTACTGTAATTACGCACAGTACGATACAATAAATGACTTTGACGGACCATTTATTTTATTTGGTATGTGCCTCCTTTTTAACTAAAATTCTATTTATAAAGGTTAATTGATATTTTGACAACGCCACATTTTCCCCCTTATGCAATTTACCTTTATATATTTATTAATTATGTAAGTTAACATTATTTTTTAGAAAAAAACTACACGTAACTTAAATAAAACCTTTTTCTTGCGTGTTTTTGAAAAAAAAAGAGTTGAGGAAAAAAGATAACTCTTAGTTAATAACCATCACAAGTAATAAAGAAATACCAGTATGTATAACAAGTACTTATTTAATTTCTTAATATTATGTAAACAACACAATATTGAAATTTTATTTTATTTATTTACACAGAATTTTAAAGTTTTAAGCTTATTACATGAGCGAACATTTTCAAAGATGATTTTTGCAATAAATATTAATACATATATCGATACAAAAAGGAAAATAGAAAAAAATTATGAAATAAAATTACCAAACACCTCAATATACGTATATTAAAATGTAACGTGGATTATGTGTATTAAAATGTAATGTAAAATGGACTTACAAGTAAAACTCACTTTTCTCAAATTCAGCCTGGAATATTTCATGACCAAACATTACTGAAGTACATACATCAAAAGCTTTGTGAAAAGTTCGGTAAGTATCATGTATGGGAAAAATATAAAAGCAAACAATTACGGTAACTCAAAGCACTACATTTCGTATAATATGCGTATAGTAATTAATTAATACTGAGAGCTGCTGGGAATTTAACCAGTTAAGCTTAAGGCATAGATAATGTATATGTAATAATAATAAAATGTGTTAAGACTCTCTTTTATGAAAGATTTTTTTTTCATGTCAATTTACAACAACATATTGTTTTATAATAGTAAATTTGACTGTTTTTTATATCTATTTAATTAATCTAAAAGCTAAATGTATTTAGATTTTCTCTATCAATTGAAATAAAACGTAATTTTTTTTAATCAGACTTATTTTTCGGCCGCTTTTGAATGATACGCGAATATATTATACAAAGGTATATAAAGTATGTTATACTTATTAATAGTTCATACGTAATTAAACACAACAAATTTGATATTTATCAATTTTAAGTAAGGTTAGAATATATGATTGTATTAAAAAGTCAGATTTTTAAGTTCTAACTAATAAACAAGCGTAGGCAATTATAATGTATACATAACATCTCGGTTTTTATATCGCAAATGGAATTTTATGCCCCTAGCTATGAGACGACACGCTAGACCGTTAATGTTTTCATTATCTGACATCGCTCTGAGAAAACTAGGGATGCTTGCTTGATTGAATTTAATTGCTTTTTAAACTAGCCCTATTAAAGTCAATTGCGAGGGAAGATATTGCGTAGGCACAGACTGTCTATAATGACATGAATTATGATGAGGGTTTAAGGATTGTATTATTGCTATATCTATATTGACAATAAGTATATTTATTAAAGGTATTCTCTTACCTAAGGTTTAGAACTAGCTATGTATAATTTGCTTTTAATAATCTTTCAAAATAAACTAAATGTTAATTAGTCTAGTTGCTGTATAAATATAACATTTAAAACAATTGAGGGTTTATAATTGAAACTATAATTCTTTAAATTATAGTCCCGAGTCAGTGCGAGCACATAATTCAACACGTATTGTCGAATGCTCATTAACATTTTCCGTTCCCCATTACGGAAACAAGCACGGGTCGTTCCGAGCTAAGCCGCGCGAAACAATCTTTTTTTTCAAAGAAAAGAATAAAAACACGAAAGTTCCAGCCAGCTGCGCTCGAGCATCCTGACTACGTCACCTCACCTTTTCTTTTATGATAGCGACATATAGTCATCCTTTACTAACGCGTCAGTCTTTTGAATGAAAGGAAAGAGACGACAGGTGGCGGGGCTAGCTTATTGAGATAATAACGGCAATCTTCCGCAAAGCGCCGTGTTCCTTTATAATGTTTTATTGTAGAGACAAGCTTGTTGGTTTTTATCGGGTGTAAATGAGTCCCGACAGTGTCCCGGGAAAGCGACCGGTCGTTAATAAATTATTTTTGTGACATAATTGTTCATAACTAAGACGTTATTTTAGAATGTGTCAATATCTTTAAAGTATTTATTTGCATGATAGTGTGTTCAGATAGTTTTCAGGGGAAAATTAAATGAAAAGATAATCTTTGCAGAAAGTTTTCTTCAACAAGACTTGAAATTAAAGAACTACTTATTTATAACTATTTAATTATAAATACTTATTCTTAACATTGATAGAAAATTCTATTTGTAGTGAAAGATAAGTACTTCGAAGGAACTTGTAAGCTTTCTGTCCATGAGGGTTTAATAGAGATAACTTAAAATCCTTACAAGTAAAAGTAGGTAGTAATCGCATACATATATGTTTATATTTGTATTGTATGTTTATTTAGCTCTTTTTAATGTCCCACTGCTGGGCACAAGCCTCCTTTAATAAGAAGGGGAGCAGGCTGTAGTTCACCATGCTTTTGGATTGAGGGTTGGCGGACTTAACATATCCATCGAAAACATCCTAGGTTCTCATAATACTATCTTAGATTTACGCGAATGTT